AAATAGAATGGTCTAGCTGACCATCTAGGGAGAGAAAGTCTAGTATTAGAAGAAATACAGCAGCATGCCCTCTAACTAATATTTCTTATCAACACCTTTACTTCTTGGTGACGTAGGCATGGCATGTTATCTTTTTCTTCCTAGCATTTTTTCCTGCGTGTGCAGGGTCCGCTTTCCCCCCCCCAGATCAATGGAATGTTGATCCATTGGTTGCGACAGGAATTGACTGACTGGCTTGTCGCCCGAGCCTGACGTCAGGGGCTGAGAGAGAGGGACTGGCCCAAAGTCACCCAGCCAGCTTTTATGCCTAAAGCGGGACTAGAACTCTCAGTCTCCTGGTTTCTAGCCTGGTGCCTTAACCAATACACTGGCTCTCTGGTGTACAAAAACAGGATATATCTCACTAATTGATCCACCATAGTATTTTTCTAATGTTCAGCATTACTATGGAGGATTCCTTATATCTTCCAAAATATATCTTGGTACAACTGAAATTGCATTAGGATTGTATTGTGGCAGGAAAGAAGTGTGAATGAGTCATTACTCAGTTTGATTTGGATTGAAAAATATGTGAATACTGTCCTTTTAAAAATCTGTAGTAAAGGTACATGTTAGTCAATTTTATACTGTATGTTCACATACCTATTCATTACTATGTTGCTAGTCCTGTCCCTATTGTTCTGATTTAGTTTCCCTATTCTAGTTAGATGAATTTTACTCAGTGCTCCTCAGTAGCCATGGTGACCTGCCAAGTAAGCTGGGAAATGCCACAAGAGTCAACATCACAATTCTGAAGAATGATGATCCACATGGAATTATTCAGTTTGTTGACAACATACTGACAGTAACAATAAATGAAAGTAAAGGGGAAGATTTCTATGCTGGTAATTCATAATTGTTTTCTTGGCATAAAAACCTCAAGATTTTCATAAATGAGAAAGTGTATGAGTATACTTTTAATAAATAAATTAAACTGTTAACTGTTAACTACTGTCGATTTACCAGAGTTCATTGTTTCTCTCTTCTACCTGATACACTAATAGTACAAGAGTCATTGTAGCACAACTTTAATTATCATAATTAAACTACACATTATGGCTTTACTGTTTGCTACTGGATCAGGAGGGGTCCAGATATCTGGAATCAGTCATGGGAAAGATTGACTTGCATTGCCATTTCTCCAATCATTTGATACTAGACAGGTGGCATTCGTAATCAGCACAAACTGGTTTCACAACAGCCAGATTTACATATTGTATTATGCCATGTTTTTTTCCTTTGAGTACTGTGTACTGTGTGAATCCAATCACTGTGCTTTGTTAACCAAGATTTATGCTTAGCATATGTGAAGGTAATTATTGTGGTTAACAAATCAAGGTCAAACTTTAGATTAGCATATGTGAATCCAACCATTTAAACTATTATTCTATTAAACTATTATTAACTCATCATTCAGTTGAAAATTACTATACAGTATTATAGAACACTGACATCCAAAGTACTTTTTAATGTTTGCATTTTGTAGGCAAAATAGTAGTTTGGTCATTTGTTTATTTAATGGTTTCCAATGTAAATTTGTGTATGTGATGTTATTATAGTTAAAAATAAAATCTCATTTAAATTAATTTTATATTGAGTTTTTCTTACCTGTCTTGGATGTCATCTGATGAAAATATCCATATACTTGTGTTTCAAAGCTGTTTTTAAAATAATAAGAAACAGAGGAACCTTTGGCAGCGTGAACGTATCTTGGGCAGCAGACTCAATTTCTACAAAAGATATTTTTCCAGATCAAGGAACAATTTTCTTTGGAAATGAGGAATTTTCAAAAGATATCACCATTTATTCAGTGCCTGATGAGGTAGTCATTTTCACACAAGTAATTGTTATTTGTGGGAGAGGGGCAAGTAAATTTATAACACAGGAAGATGAAGATGATGATTATGAGAGGAGTAACAATGCAAATGCAGGATGTTCTCTAATCTTAAGTGTGAAAGGTCAAAAAAGGTATATGTACAGTACATTCTTGAATGAAGACTCTGCTAAAACATTTCCTTTCGGCTGATTAGCTGAAAACATTAAAATGGAATAATAAAAACAATGTCTGCCTTGGAGCAATTTTAGATTATAAATGTCTAATGGCTATAATAAAGTGTTTATCAATCATAAGATTTAGATTTCATTACTATTACTATGCAAGTATTTATGGTTTATTTTAAAGTTCTTATTATTTTGGAAAAGTGAACAGTGCTTTGTGAGAATTAGTGGTTGGCATCTGGGATTAATTCAACAATATTAATACATAAACATTGTGATTTTTTCCCAAGATACCTGAAGAAATGGAGGTATTCATAATTAGTCTTTTCAATACTACAGGCGGTGCTAGCCTGGGAAATATAACCACAGCAACCTTGCAGATTACCAAAAATGATTATCCAATTTACTTTGCAAGTAAGTATCATTCTACTAGCTTATTTATTTATTTATTTATTTATTTATTTAT